AATCTTTCCCAGGTGGCATGCCTCCTGACCTCCTTACACTACCCAATGTGGTATCACCTGGAGAGCGCGTTCAGCACACCACATTCCCTCGGTGATCTACTGTGGATCCCCACCACGGCCCAACCCCACCATTCCAAAACCCTCATGACAACCATAGGGTCACTTCAGTTGTGGTTAAGATGGCCCCCAAAACTGATCAGCGGGAACATAGAGGCTCTCGCCCCACTGACTAGTCTCCAGCGCTGCACTCACGACCTCCCCCTGCAGGGATGGATAGAAAAAGGGGTGACCAGAATATCACACCTCCTTGGAATTGAGGGGCTTTTACCAATCCCTGACCTCCAGAGGAAATAACTTTTCCCTATCAGCGAAATCTTCACATACCTCTGTATAAAGCATATAGTAGGGGACGTCAAAAAAATAACAACACTCACGCAACCCCACAAACAATTTGATATGTTATGCCTGGGCCTAAAAAAAAAACCCCAAAACGCTATCCTTGTGTTATAGACTTAGACAGACCGACAAAACAATCCTATATGTTACAATGGGAAACGGAGCTGAATGGTACGTTTGAGCCGCACAGGTGGGTGGGGGCCATGACACTAGTAAAAAGGGTTACACATTGTATAGACCATGTGGAAGCAGCCTACAAGATGTGGCTAAGGTGGTACTATACACTCCAAAGGTTGGCCCAAATATACCCGGGCACTCAGGCGAAGTGCTGGCGATGCAACCAACAGGAAGGCACTCTAAGTCACATATTCTGGTACTGCCCTGCACTCAGCCAATACTGGCAACGAATCCAAGACCTGATAAAATCCAAAGTAGGGAAAACCCTGCCACCTACCCCTGAACATTACCTGCTCCATATGTTACCACAAGGTATTACAGCTCACGAAGCATCACTAATCACCCACATCACACTAGCTGCAAAGCAATGCATAGCCACCCTATGGAAATCCACCCTGGCACCAGATCTACAGTCGGTGCTTGCCAAAGTGAGCCTTACTCAACAGTATGAGAAAATGTCACACACGATCAATGGTACTCAACTGCTCTATAACCGCACCTGGTCCAAATGGTAGGATGGTGATGACACCAGGGTGACGAAAACTAACCCCTGAAGTACGTGCAATGAAGAGCCTCTCAACCCCCCATCCCTAGTTTACTGTCCTCTCCCACCTCCAACTACACACCCCCCCTCTCAAAAAACTAAGGGCCATAGCTACGTTGGCAAGCCCTAAAAACCTGAGACGATTGGTAGTGGACCTAACCCTACAACATGTATATCAGCGCAGAGCCTTACTGGAAGACAAACACCTGACTGCTCCGAAACCCTGGAGAATAAAGGTTTAGAGCTCAACCCCGGGACTTACCATGCAGACCAAGAAGTCCTCTTCCACAATATCCCTACACACACGCATAACTCCCTAAGCCTACCGGGCGCTAAGCTCAAACCTCTCTACCACCTCCCACAGCAGTTACAGAGTGAATAGCTTATAGTAGTAACGCATAAACGACATCCTGAAGTACCATTTGAATGCCTATGTGAATGGTTATTAGTTATTCTTCAAAATCTATTACTGTACCTACTCTCTTATGGCGACAACGTAATGTTTGTTACTAAGTGATACTATGATGTTACACCCCTAATAAAAATGATACAAGATTATAGGTACACTGCATTAGCATAATCTACAATTTTATAACATGACAGGAGGCTTCGTATTTTGCATTTTTAAAGTTGTGGATGAAGAGCAAAAGAAGCATGAGACACCTGGCGGAATTAACAAACACAGAATGAACTATCTCTAGTCCAGTCCACGGATCTCAATATGTCGGTAGACAAAGCACCCACCATGCAGAAGCGGGAAACAGTCCAAAAAACGGGATATGAGACGGAGGAAGTTCCATCTTAGTTCGACGCGAGATAGAAATACATTCCTTCCAGACTAAAGGAAAAAAACGTCTACGCCAAACGCCGGAAATCCGTCGAAAGAAAAGGACACAAAAGTGTAAGTATCGCTGAGAGTTGGCGCAAAGACAATTTAGTATTGTCTTGCCATACACAATGAAAATTTAAAACTAGAACAATGTCCCACATAGGCTAGTATTTGGGAGCTGGTGGTCTAGACAGACAAATCCTCCTTGAAGGTGACAGACCAGAGGGTTCTGGCCTATACAAGAGTCCCCTGTAGGGACATGAGCCACCAAGATAGCAGAATGTGTAACATTGATAGGGCGATACAACATTCCCGTCGAAAAGGGATGGGATAAGAAATTTAGCACTGCAGTAACAGGTGCCATAAAAGGATCGAGGTCCCTCTCCATACATCAATTACTCCATCCGGTCCATGTGGAGTCGTGGCTCCCTCTATTGCCTGGGGCCCCAGGCCACTAGGTCCAAGTGTCTTTGGAGGACCGGTGGATGCAATTCCCCTTGGGTGTTCGTCAATAGACGGGGTGATCCTGAGATAGTTCCAGTAAATCTGGACACCATGCTTGACTTTGTCATCAGTGAGTGACGAACAACAGAGTGAGCTTGTG